CTTGCTAAGCTGCTAAAATCTCAAACAAAAAAAGTAAACCTCCCCTTGCTAACAGTTCCACCTATAGTATCCTCTCAACCAGTTTACATCAAAGAGAGTTACACATTTGATTTTTAAATGAGTGAAAGATTCTAGACAACAGACTGCTAGTGATTCCAACAGATCTTGCACCCTTTCCTCCAATCTCTGTTAATTATGTGCAATTAGCAGTGAATTTTCAATTGAGGTTTTTGAAAGCAATTGCTTCAGAAGCAGCTTGCTTTGTTTCAAAAGATCTTGGATTGTATGGTCAGGGAATAGATTAAAGTGCTGCATAGATCACGTGGGCTGCTGTTGAATTAAGCTAGATCCATCTCTGGTCTTCTGTTTTACATCCATTTTTAAAAAAAACTGTGCGAACAAGGATTCTGACTTCTTGGAAATGGTTCCCTGGGCAGGATTCATCTCACCTGCCTTTGGATACCCACAAATTTGAAGTGCCCCATCAGTGGGCTGCCGGGTGCCTCATTCCTCTGCAGTCCCACCTCCAGTGCTGATGCCTCTTGGCCTTGCCAGGGTGTGCAACATGGATGGAATGAGTCTCAGCCCTGAGCAATTTAACCTCCTCAGCTCAACACTTTTCCCAGATCAATCTACCTTCAGGGAGAGAGAGGGTTATCACAGGTAGACCTCTGCATGGACACAGCCATCCTGCTTCATGGACCTGGGCTAGCTCACCTCAAACACCAGAAAGCATCGATTCATGGCAGGGTAAGCAAGCAGAATGGCTTGTCCCAGGCAGCAGGGAAGGGGTCGTTTTCCTAAGGGCAGGAGGCTGCTCCTGTTTTAATTTTTTTTTTCTGAGAGGCCTCATGCTCACACACAGCATCCCTCTCAGAGCAGCAAGAAGGTCTATACAGAGAGTGAACAAACATGAGCCTCACTGAGGATACCAAGGCAGCCTCTGGGCATCTGCCACAGTGTGGCATCTCACTCCAGGCTCTACATGGTACCCAGGCAAGGCTCTCTCTCTCTCCTCTTTCCTGTCCAGTCTAACACGGGCTGCCATAGAGACAGAGATTTCCAGAACAGCTGAAGATACTTGGCTGTCTATTCCCTCTCTGTATTGATGAGGACTTGATATCTAAATTCCATGGGCTTGAAAATCCCAATTTAAAAATCCCTAAATTCCTTCTTCCACGTATCTCTTGGAAAATCATACCAGACCTTCAGTCTCTTGCCTTATGGTCTCATGAGCACACATCACCAGGAGGCAGAGCTGCCCACCCACAGAGAAATCACCTATCGTGTTTTTTAAAAGTGAAACCAAATTCTCTCCCATTAGCCCAAGGAGTTTTAAATCAGCTTGGTTTATGGTCAGCTCCACCCAAAATAGGCCTTGGTTTTGTGTGAGAAATGCAACAGCTCAGAGATCATGTTGAGAAATAGCACAGATACTGTCAAAGAGCACTTCATCCAAAGGGACACCCTCAAGACTGGTGGCTCCCCAGTTATAAAATTCCCTCCCCACAGAAAAAAAAAGGGCATCCGTTGTTTAAAAATGTGCCTGTAGCATTAAAAAAATTCAATTGGTTCACATGAAGAGCATAAGAGTGTTAGTATTAAAGTCTCTGTATAAATACTATGCAGTTCAGACTCTCTGTGCCTAATGGTGTTGATGGTCCTTCATTTTAATAACTGTAAACAGCAAAATGTGCTGCCACTGCAGACAGCATTGTTAACTTAATCACGTAGTTAGTTCTTAACTAGCATACAAATGTTTTCAGGTACAGAAGAAAGAAAACATTTTAAAGCCAGTACACAATACAGCACCAGAAAGGGCTACATTTGCCCTTCATAAAAAATAACATTTTTTAAAGGATAAAAATTAGCCTGGCATTAATTATGGAAGAAAACTGTGGCTGATACAAACTGTCCAAGGTAGGACATTTTGGTGACATCCACACTGCTATGTAAAACAGGGACAGCAACTGCCTGGGCAGGTTCACTCTTTTGGCCACACAACTTCTCAGGTCCAGCTCATGTCACATTGGCCTTATGACATTTTGATATGTTCTCATGGCTCTCAGATATCCTGCTGAGCTTTCTTTCCCCAGATTGTGGGAAATAACACAAAGGTCACCCTGCATCATTGGGATGCTTTTAGTCTGTGACGCTGAGAATACAGCTTGTGTTTCCAGGGGCTCAACAAGAAGACATGGGGGCATGTAAGGGTGCAAAGCCCTTAGGATGGCAGCAAGGGGAACACATCTGAGTGGAAGCTGTTTGACACCTTGCCTTTGTTCTTCCCCAGCTGAGTTAGCTGGACTGAACCACAATTTTACCAGTAGTTTGCTAAGAATTAAACTTGGCCTTGTCTAGTTAACAGATACAGATACAGCTCAGCACCATAGCCTCATGCTAGTATCTAATGCAGACTTAATTTCTGCCCATAGCTGTCTCCTTATGAGATTAAGAATTTTCTTCTGAGCATGGCAGAGCTGTGCATCCACGAGCTCTCAAAACACACACAGGGGCATAAAGCCCTCCCTGGTGCTTGACAGATCAGCAGCACATGCAAGCATGTGTCCTCAGAGGGAAAGCAGGAGGCAAAAGCACTCGTGTGCAGAGAGAAACACAATTCCACACAGGGATTCAGTGTCTCTCCCAGAGTCAAGAGTGCCAGACAGCTAAATCAGAGCAGCATGCACAGATCCATGTGTCTGGGAGCTGAACACACACTATAAGCAATGTCTCAGCACAAGTGTGTGACTGGCACCCTTTGGTTTTAGCCCGACTAGGGAATGTACACACTTACACATGTACATGTGAGCCACAGGCATCTCTCAGAAGCAGGACACTGACAGGCTGAGAGAGCAAGACACACAGTGCTTTCAGAGCTTGAGTCAAACCATCAGGAGCTGGATGCCCTTAAAATGGATGGAGCCACAATCTGGCTTTTGAAATAAAATATTCTTTCCTAGAATATTTTCCTAGAGTTAGGTTAATGGTTGGACTCAATGATCTTAAAAGTCTTTTCCAACCAGAAAAATGATGTGATTCTGTGATTCCATGAGTCTGAACTGTGAGCTTAAGTCCTCTTCTGAAAGAAGCATTTTTCTATATGTAAGAGAATGTGATGCAGATAGTTACCTGGTGTTGGCCAGCAGGATCGGGCCCACTCCCTGTAATGTGAGGAGCTGTGGCTGTCATGAGGCAAGGTAGGAACCATGGGTTCACCATCCCTATTAGATGGGAACTGCCTACACTCAAGGCTTGCATGCACGACATTAGAAGTCTGGCTACAGGTGATTCATCTTTGAACCTGTATCTTTGAAGGTCCCGGGCTGTGGAAGGCAAGTTTGCTTGAGAAGTGGGACACATCACTTTGGCTTCAGCTCCTGTGGGTTGGGCACATGCCACTAACCAGGCTAAGCAGAGGAAAGAGAGACCTAGGTATATCTGCACTTTCAGGGTGCAGGATACAGAGGCCCTTAGTTATGGCCTTACCTTGCTAGGTGCTTTCTACCCAAAAGAGTTCTTACAACCTAGCCCAGGTATCCCTGCATTGCACTGCAGTCTCTAACTGCAGCTTGCCCATACCCCAGAGTGTTTCTTTAGTAACAGCAAGCACTGACAAAGGTTAATAGTTTTCTTAAGATGATGATGATTAAGGTAAGTTTCTTAATATGATCCTGATTCAAGTGAGTTAAACCCATTTTTCTCTTTCATCTTGAAGATAGGTAAATCACACTTTCCTGCTGTGATCCTGCAAAGAGATTCAAGAGCAAATTCCAGCTCAGCGGAGCTAAGGGACCTTCCTCCTCCTGCAGAGACATCTTGGCTTCAGCACTGTTTAGGGCTTCCATGCACAGATAGATGCCAGGGCAGCATCCATGCCCAAAGGTTATCCTTTTCTAAAGGCTTGCATGTGCAAAATGAGACAACACCTTATAATTTATTTTTTTTTAATTAAGTTGCTCCCAGGTGTGCTGACATGGCTTTTTTTCCTGCTTAATAAAACAACAAATACACAGCGCAGGCAATAAGAAGATGCTAACCATGCCTGCTAGCTGTGCACTGTGAAAAGCGCTGGCCTTTCCCCAGGGTTCAAACACTTCCCCAAACGCAGAGGTGAGAGCAGCAGTGCCCCAGTCTGCCCTTGGGGAGACATCTCCTCGGGAACGGCAGCCTGTGCCACCACCGTGCGGGTGCCTGTGCACCCACAGCCCGTGGCTTCTCACCACTGCTGCCATGGTTGGGTCTCTGCAGTCTCTGCAGCCTGGTTAACTCTGCACCCGGGTTAACCCTGCACCCAGGTTAACCCTGCACCCTGCAGTGTGGTGTGGTGAGCAGCCCAGTTAACCCTGCACCCAGGAAATGGGGATTGTTAGTGGGGAAAGGCAAGCACTGCAACAACATTGTCTAAATTATGCTACTACTCTAAGGAAAAGAGTAAAGCCTGGAGAAGGCTCTGGGGGAGACCTCCTAGTGACCTTCCAGGAACTGAAGGGGCCTACAGGGAAGGTGGGGAAGGACTTATTACAAGGGCTTGTATTGATAGGATGAGGGGCAATGGTTTTAAGCTGGAAGAGGGTGGATTTAGGCAAGACACAAGGAATAAATTCTTTAGCATGAGGACGGTGAGACACTGGCACAGGTTGCCCAGGGAAGTTAAGGATGCCCAGTGTTCAAGGGCAGGTTGGAGGGGCTTGGAGCAACCTGGTCTAGCCGGAGGTGTCCCTGCCCATGCACGGAGTTGGAACTAGATGATCTTTAAGGGCCCTTCCGACCCAAACCGCTCTATGATTTAATGTGATACTATGCAAATGTGCTGTTGCACAGGGCCTGCAAAAAACGTCCTGCTGGGCCTCATCTCCCACTCTTTTTTCTTCAGGTACCTATCAGGCTGCCGACAGAGGGGGAAGGGGGGAACTGGGGGATGAAAACCAAACAAACACGGCTTTAAAGAAAATCATTAGTAAGCAGTGTGGACTGACAAAAATAAAACGAGGCGAGGGTGGTTCCACTGGGGCTCGAACCCAGGACCTTCTGCGTGTAAAGCAGACGTGATAACCACTACACTATGGAGTCCCCCAGGGAGGGGCTGCAGCCCCCCAAAAACCAGGGAGGTGACATTGTGGGGGGCAGGGGACACCCCCCAGGTCCTGGGGGTGGGTCTAGGGGACGCTGTGGGGCCAGGGGTGGCTCTAGGAGGGGGTCTTCAAGGGGCTGGGGGTGGGGCTAGGGGGGCTGAAGGGGGTGGGGATGTCTTGG